ATTTCAAATCAATCAAATCTATATATTAGCAATTCTTTGAAGAAAAATAAGTTCTTTTATCCTGTTTAATAAACATATACATGTTACATATGACTGAATCTTGGAAGTGGATCTAAATGAAATTAGTTATCTCTTTTTAGCATTTGTGAGGAATGAATTATTCTAAATTATTTCTCCTCCTCCTTCCCATCAGACCCGCAGATATGATACCTATGGTATCTGTATCTGATTACAAAGTATGGGCATCCCTCCTTTTACTGGGCTTTGCTTTATCATGCTTTGCACTGCTTTCTTTACCAAATGAGAGTTTGTGGCAACCCTGCATCGAGCAAGTCTATTGGTACAATTGTTACAATAGTATTTGCTCACTTTGTGTCTGTCTCTGTGTCACATTCTGGTAATTCTTGCAACATTTCCACATTTTTCAGTATTATTATTATATTTGTTATGGTGATCTGTCTGTGATCAGGGATCTTCGACTTTACCATTGTTATTATTTCGGGCACCACAAACCATGCCCATGTAAGACGGTGAAATTAACCAATAAACGTGTATTCTGACTGCTTGCCTGCCTGGCTCTTCTCCTCTCTCTCCCTCTTCTAGGCCTCCCTGTGCCGAGACACAAAAGTATGGAAATTAGGCCCTTTAATAAGCCTACAATAGCTTCTAAGTGTTCAAGTGAAAAAAAAGTTGCACATATCTCCCTTTAAACCAAAAGCTAGAAATGATTAAGCTTAGTGAGGAAGGCACGCAGAAAGCCGAGACAGGTTGAAAGTTAGGCCTCTTGCACCCATTAGCCAGGTTGTGAATGTGAAGGAAAAGTTCTTGAAGGAAATGAAAAGTGCTACTCCAGTGAACACATGAATGATAAGAAAGCAAAAAAGCCTTATTGCTGATAGGGAGAAACTTTTGAGGGTCTGGATAGAAGATCAAACCAGCCACAACATTCCCGTAAGCCAAAGCCTAGTCCAGAACAAAGCCCTGACTCTCTTCAATTCTATGAAGGCTCAGAGAGGTGAGGAAGCTGCAGAAGCCAGCAGAGGTTGGTTCACAAGGTTTAAGGAAAGAAGCCATCTCCCTAACATCAAAGTATAAGGTGATGTAGCAAGTGCTAATGGAGAAACTACAACAAGGGATCTAGAAAATAATTCATGAGGGTGGCCACACTTAACAGGTTTTCAATGTGGATGAAACCACCTTTTACCAGAGGAAGGTGCCATCCAGGACTTTCATAGCTAGAGAGAAGTAATGCCTGGCTTCAAAGCTTCAAAAGACAGGCTGACTCTCTTGTTGAGGGCTAAAGCAGCTGGTGACTACAAGCTGAAGCCAGTTTCAGAATTTACCATTCTGGAAATACTAGGCCCTTAAGAATTAGGCTAAATGAAAAAAAAAAAATCAACTTTAATTCTACTGAATGAAAAAAAAAAAAAGAATTATGCTAAATCGACTATGCCTACGCCCTAGAAATGGAACAACAAAGCCTGGATGACAGCACATCTATTGAACATGGCTTACTGAATATTTTAAGGCTATGTTGACATGTACTGCTCAGGAAAAAGATTCCTTTCAAAATATGACTGCTCATTGGCAATGCAACTGGTCACCCGAGAGCTCTGATGGAAATGTATGAGATACATGTTTTCATGCCTGCTAACACAACATCCATTCTGCAGTCTATGGATCAAGAAGTCATTTTGGGGGCACCTGGGTGGCTCAGTTGGTTGAGCAACTGCCTTTGGCTCAGGTCATGATCCTGGAGTCCCAGGATCGAGTCCCGCATTGGGCTCCCTGCTCAGCAGGGAGTCTGCTTCTCCCTCTGACCCTCCCCCCTCTTATGTGCTCTCTCTCTCACTTTCTCTCTCAAATAAATAAACAAAATCTTTAAAAAAAAAAAAGAAGTCATTTTGACTTTCAAGTCTTATTATTTAAGAAAAGCATTTCATAAGGCTATAGCTGCATAGACGGTGATTCCTCTGATGGATCTGGGCCAAGTCAACTGAAAACCTTCTGGAAACGATTCACCGTTCTAGATGCCACTAAGAACAGTGATTATGGGAAGAGGTTAAAATGTCAACATGAGGGTGCCTGGGTGGCTCAGTTGGTTAAGCGACTGCCTTCGGCTCAGGTCATGATCCTGGGGTCCCGGGATCGAGTCCCACATCAGGCTCCCTGCTCAGCAGGGAGTCTGCTTCCCCCTCTGACCTTCCTCCTTCTCATGCTCTCTCTCTACCATTCTCTCTCTCTCTCAATAAACAAATAAAAAAAATTAAAAAAATAAAAAATAAATAAAATGTCAACATGAACTGGAGTTTGGAAGACATGGATTCCAGCCCTGATGGAGGACTCTGAGGGAGTCAAGATTTCAGTGGAGGGAGTAACCGCAGATGTGGTGAAAACAGCACAAGAACTAGAATCAGAAGTGGAACCTGAGGATGGGACTTAATTGCTCCAATCTCATGATAAAACTTAAACAGATGAGGAGTTGCTTCTAATGGATGAACAAAGAACATGGGTTTCTTGAGCTAGAATCTACTCCTGGTGAAGATGCTGTGAAGACTGCTGAGATGACCACAAAGGACCTAGTATATCACATAAACTTAGTTGATAAAGCAGCAGCAGGGTTTGAGAGGATTGGCTCTAATCTTGAAAGAAGTTCTACTGTGGGTAAAGTGCTATCAAACAGCATCTCATGCTACAGAGAAATCATTCATGAAAGGAAGAGCCAATCAATGCAGCAAACTTCAAACTTCAGCCCTCAGCGGCCACAACCTTGATCAGTCAGCAGCCATCAACATGGAAGCAAGACCCTCCACCAGCAAAAAGATTACAATTTGCTGAAAGCTCAAATGATGGTTACCATTTTTTAGCAATTAAGTATTTTTTACTTAAAAATGTACATTGTGTTTTTAGACATAATGCTACTGCACACAATATACCAGAGTATAGTGTAAACGTAACTTTTATATGCACTGGGAAACCACAAAATTTATCTGACTGGCTGTACTACAGTATTGGCTTTATCGCAATGGTCTGGAACTGAACCTGCAGTATCTCTGCGACATGCCTGCACCAGGTTCCTATGTGGGTAACACAAATACACTTGTTCAAAAATGTGGGTAGCTTTACTGTACTGCACCTGTCCTCAGAGGGTTCTCAAACTAATATCCGCATGTGGTCTTCCTCAGGATAAAGGACACTGTGTTCGTCTTACCTTCGGTCAGAAAGCTTTCCGGTAGTAACTGCCCTGAAGTAAACTGGGCCAGCTGTTCTTTGAGCCTCTTCACTTCAGCTTGGAGCTGGCTTACATTTCCTTGGGTGTCTTCATTTACCACTGCCTGTTCAAAAATTTTTTAAAAAGCATTAAAAGAATATTCTTGAGTCACACAACCTTGTGTTTCTATTTGTTTATAGGATTTGGAATGACAAACACCAAACAAAACTGTACCTCCATCCCACACACAGTCACAAGGCCCCTAGAATCACAGTGTGCTGGAGTGGGGAGGAAGCCTCCCTTCCCTGTGTCTCATAGCTACAGCCAGGGACTCTGCCCACTCACCACCCCTCCTGTATGCTCCCACTTAGGGCCCCACCCTATTGGGCTGGGTCACCCAGGGATCTGAATGTTCATCTAACATTGCCTTCTCCTTGGGACAGCCCCACCCCCATGGAGAAGAGCTCCCCTCTGGAAGGAGTATCCCCTCCCCTCTGTCTTGGCCCACTTAGCTGCAGAGTTGGCCTGAGCTCCATCAGCTTAGCAGAAACCACTTTCTCCAAAGGAATCCAACCCTATATTTCCTAACAGCCCTCCTGGAGAGAAGAGTTGGTTGGATAGCTCTATTTCTGTTTTATTACCACACTCAATGTTATTTTATTTTTTTTAATTTTTTATTGTTATGTTAATCACCATACATTACATCATTAGTTTTTGATGTAGTGTTCCATGATTCATTGTTTGTGCATAACACCCAGTGCTCCATGCAGAATGTGCCCTCTTTAATACCCATCACCAGGCTAACCCATCCCCCCACCCCCCTCCCCTCTAGAACCCTCAGTTTGTTTTTCAGAGTCCATCGTCTCTCATGGTTCGTCTCCCCCTCCGACTTACTCCCCTCCATTCTTCCCCTCCTGCTATCTTCTTCTTTTTTTTTTCTTAACATATATTGCATTATTTGTTTCAGAAGTACAGATCTGTGATTCAACAGTCTTGCACAATTCACAGCACTCACCATAGCACATACCCTCCCTCAATGTTATTTTAAAGAAATGTCTCTTGAAGAAATTATCTTAAAGAAATGACTTCTTTAAGACAACTTTTTTTTTATTAAAGATTTTATTCATTTATTTGAGAGAGAGAGCATGAGCGAGTGTACAAGCAGGGGGAGCTGCAGGCAGAGGGAGAAGCAGACTCCCTGCTGAGCATGGAGCCCAATGAGGGACTCCAACCCAGGACCCTGGGATCATGACCTGAGCCAAAGGCAGATGCTTAACTGACTGAGCCACCCAGGCACTCCTCCTTAAGACAACTTCTAAGAGGTTCAAAAGGCCCATAAAACCTATAGGGTGATAATAAGAGCCAACAGTTCACTACCAATCAGATCAAAGGGACCCAGCTGTGAAATACCCAATATCCTAAAGAGGGAGAAAAACTCTCTGACACAGTCCCAAGGTCCCCGTGTTCTTGCCTTAAGCCGGGTCTGCCCATTGGGAAAGATCTAAATAGCACATCCTTAAATGAGTCCCAGATATCCCAGTCACTTTCCACCAGTAGGCTGCAGTACTGGACTTACCATTGTTAATAACTAGTATTAAGGCTCCTCCTGGTTTTATCATTTGATGTATTCAGAAGCCATTTCTAGTTGCTTCTGATGCTTATGGCCAGTCTCACTTCAAGGCACTCCTGTAGATTCTGACATCACTGCCACATCAGTGACATCATAATCCTAATTATCCCTGCAGTCCTCCACTATCCAAAAACTTCCAATAAGTCCAAGAGACAGGGTCAGGAAGCTCTAGTGATTTTTCTTCCATATATTACGAATACCCCACCACAGGGTCATAATCCAATTAAAATGAATCAACAACTAGACCTATACTCGTCTGACTTACCCACGAGAAGAGGCAACATGGACCTCTTTACTCTTACATGCTAAGATGATCAGGGAGTCTACTTGGGGGGTAGAAATGACCAACTTCTCCTTTGAAAGAAAGAGGAAAGTAATCTGCCAATTCATGGCACGGTGATTCTTTTGTCCAGAACCAAAGTGGCCTCCAACCTTTCCAAAAGAAGTGGGGGACCCCTTGCTCCAGGGGCTGGGAAAGAGCTGCCTGCTCACGGACCAAATACAGCCTGCCATCTGTTTTTGTAAAGAGATCTGCGCCGGAACACAGCCACGCCCTTACGTCTGCGGACTGCCGACGGCTCCTTTCTCACCACCAAGGCAGAGCTCAGCAGCTGGGATAGACAGTACACAGTCCAAGAAGCCTCAAATATTTACCTTTACAGAAAAACTTTTCTGACCACTGGTGTACACCAATATCAAAGAAGCTTCTTATATATAAGAAAAATGGGGAATCCTTGGAGGTATAGACAACTTAAAAGACAAAGCTTGTTAATATCAAACTATCTTCACAGTGAAGCCCTACCACACACATACACACACACACACACACACAGAGCTCTGTTAGCAATGGTTTAGGTAAATAAATTTAGTCTCTAATTGAGTTAGAAAGGAAAAACTCTGCTTTCCTTTAAGAAAAATCGAGCCAGGGGCACCTGGGTGGCTCAGATGGTTAAGTGTCTGCCTTCGGCTCAGGTCATGATCCTCGATCCTGGGATCGAGCCCCGCATCGGGCTCCCTGCTTGGTGGGGACCCTGCTTCTCCCTCTCCCTCAACTGTTCCCCCTGCTTGTGCTCTCTCACTCTCTCTGTCAAATAAATAAATAAACTCTTAAAAAAAAAAAATCGAGCCAAACAATACCAACCATAAGACCTAATCTAGATCTCAAATTACTTGAGCAATACAGAAGGTTAGGAAAGATGAAACAGAAATCTTGCTTAGAATTAAGCTTTCACAGAGTATTAATATTAGGGCAATCACAAGCTTAAGTATTTTTCTAATTTACTTAGTTGTACTCAGTATTTTACCTTATTTTTAATCAGCTTGGCTCTCTGAGCAAAATTAAGTGTTGATAGGGTTTCCCCAAAACACCTGGATCCAGGATGAACGTTTGCAATAATGGCTGTTTTGGCATTGCCTCCAAGGGAATCCTGTTTAATGATATGAATGGTATGCATTTTCAGGGGAGAAACCACAAGATCTTTAAGCCAAGAAAATGGATATTCTTACCACTAAAGCTGAGAGATTACATGACTGTCAACCATAGTGAGCATAACCCAAAAAAGGGCCCAGGAAGCCAATGGTCTACTTTACCCGAAGTAAAAAGGTAAGTTTGGAGTCTCTGTAGCAAACGTGCCTCTGTTTTCCATTACCCACGTCGACAAGCGCAGTAATCACTTGGCCCAGGCAGCTCAACGACCGGTTTATGTTACCTGCCTCCTAAGGGGAGAAAGAACAAAAATTGAGATGCACTGGTTTCATTTTAGTATTCTGAATTAAAATATGCCTAGCAGTTAATTTTGAATGGAAAGTCGAGTCATGGACAATATTACTAAGGATAATTGACTTTTCAGCAGATGTCCTCAACTGTCCCTAACCTTTTCCTATTCGACACACACTGCAATTTTAGTATTCAGAGACAAATGCAGAAATTATGCGAAGGAAAAAAAAAAGCCACCTCATGATTCTAAGAGTTTTAAATTGACCTATAGGTAGGGATAAAAGCTAGAAAAGAACAGAGAAAAAAGGTTGGAGTAGTGCATTAATGGGCTTATTTTTCAATCCTTTTATGTTAAAATGTTTGCTACATTAAAATAGTGTGATAACTAATAACCTACACCACGTCCCACAAAGTGACTAATGAACTTATTACAAGAGATTTTTCAGTCTAATTCTGTGAAGTACAATAAGACCCTTTTAAAAAGTGGTTTGGGGAGGGAAAAATGTTGGGGTTGAATATGTTACGCTGGATTTTTATTGTAGTTATCATACTTCAATAACTGGGTCTGCAGTGGTGGAAGTACAGAAAAAAGAGAGAAAGTGCATATTCTTAAGCAAGATGCACTGAGTTCAAGTGCAGTTGTCTGTTTTAGCAGTCAGTAAATAAGAAAGGTGTTGACAGCACTGTCTGTGGAACTGGGCTACTTCTGCTTGAATTCCAGATCTACTCCTAGCTGTGTGCCCCTGGACAATTTCATTTCCGTTTCTCCAAAAAGGAAAGGATCACAGTACCTACTTCCTAGAGACGCTGGGAAGATTAAATGAGTTAATACACATGAAGCACTTGAAACAGGCCCAGCATATGTCCTAATATAAACACTGGCTATTTCTCTTTGCTTCATGTCTCAATAGAAACATAAGCCTAAGTTCACCTTAAACTGCCTGAGAGCTCAGGAGGCTCAAATCCTCCCTTTCAATGCAAAAAGTAGACGGTCCTCCACCATTTCCGACTCTCCGCCCCTAGTCCTCATATACCCTCACCTACAGCATCCACACGTTTTACTGACAACGCAGATCACAATACACATATTCATACTGGCAAAACATACTCAGAGAACCTCAGGTCCCAATGCCAATCCCTCAGCCTAGGACTAGGTCCTTGCCCTCCCCTTGAAATATTAACCAGCACAGCTGCCCTCCTTTCTCTCTAGACTCTCCCCTCGTAAATCTGGCAGTGGTGGGCCAGATGGCTAAGCTTCTATAAAAGAGGCTTTTGCGTGAAATCACTCAAAACTTTTCAGTGTTTCCCAGCATGTGGAGAACTGAGTGCAAACCTGGCCTGGCACTCCTGGTCCTCAGTGACCCCGGGCCTGCTTGTACCTCGAGTCCAGCCCATTCATTGATCCACGCTGAAATGCCAAATGCCATACTCCCTCTGCATCCATAATGACCCTTGAGATGTTCCCCCACCAAGCATGTATTCCTTGTTCCTCTCTCCCAATCCAAATCCTGCCCTCTTGGAGAACCCAACTCAAGAACTACTTCTTTTCCATGCTTCCCCCAAGCAGTCCAGTCCCTTCCTCCTCTGACTCTGGCTGGTATTTATACTATCACCCTTCTGTCATGAATTCAAATACTCTGGCTCCCGACAGACTTGTTCTAATCTACGTATGTTTAATGTCCCTACCCCACAACAAAAATTTCCACATCTTTAGAATGGGAGCATGTTCTCATTCCTTTGTAACCTCCACACACTCACCTTGGTACTGACTTCTAGTAATTAATTCACACACAAGTTGAGTTGAAGATCATAATTCCATTCTTACCTTTAACCTCATCCCTTCTGCATGGGTGTCTTTTTGCCTTTCAGAACCTGCTAAGTCCACCAGATTGAGTAGGGAAGTCCGTATATTCACAGTCTCATTGCTTTTCTCCATTGACTCTATTGTAATTGTAAAAACTGCATGAGACCGAGAAGATTCTCTATTCATTGACGTTGATGCCACACGTCTGTTTCTCCATCCTCCAGACAGCACCTACGCAAAGGGAAAATTTCCACAACTTTCAAGTGACACAACAGCCATTTTCATACTGACAGATTATACAGACAAAAAAATTAGTAAAAATGTAAAACCCTGTATCCAAGGATATACATTCTTCTCATGTGCAAGTTTACAAAACTGGCCCACTGTATTAATTCATAAATCATTTCTCAATAAATTTCAAAGCATCTCACAAGACCATATTCTCTGATACCATGGCAATTAAGAATCAACATGAAAAATAAATTTTAAATTACCATAAATCTGGAATTTCAAATCACATTTCTAAGTGATTCACGGGTCAAAAAATAAAATTATAATAGAGAAATACTTAGATCCATAGGACAATTAAGATATTAAAACTTGTGTGAAGTTTAAGCAATAGTTAAGTAGTAACTTATAGCATTAAACACTTATGTCACAAAAGAAAGGGAATAATAAGCTAAGCATCCAGCTTAAGAAGTTGGAACAAGGACAGCAGGATGAACCCAAAGAAAACATTAAAAGAGCAAAGCCATGTAAAAAATATCAACTATGCAAAAAAAGAAAACAAAATCATAGTTACAGCAAAGTATTTTAAAAATAAGAATACTGGGAACAGCTTTATGCCAATATACTTGAAAACTGAGAGGAAACTGAAATTTTCTAGAAATAGAAAACTTCCAGAAACTTCTGACCCTAGAAGAGGTAAAATGCCTGCACGGCTCTAATACAGAATTTTCACACTTGATCTAACCCAAAACTGCAATGCAATTCCAACCAAAATCTCAACATAATCTTTTTTTTAGTATGTATATATATGTACACACAAAGACACACACAAACACACTGGATCACATGTAAAACCTATTGCTTACTATGAGAATCACAGTTTAAAAGGTTTGAATCAGGAGACTTGCTTGAAGATAAAAGAATAACGAACTGTGATATATATGCGTATATATATATACGCACATAATACATGCACACACTAATGTTCATACAATGAATTATACAGCAGTGAAGATAAGTGAAATGCAACATGGATATATTTCATAAACATTGTTGAGTTTAAAAAAGTTATAGAAGGCTAAATAGACACAATTTATTAAAACTCAAAAACAGGCAAAACCAACATTTTCAGAAATACCTATGTATGTGATTTAAAAGCAGAAGGAAATGATCATGAGCATTCAGCATATGAGGAGCCAGGGACATGAGATAGGGAGAGACACACAGGTAGACAGGATAGTACTGGTGATACCTGGGTCTTGAATTCTTAAGGTCCTCTAAGTTCATTTTAACATTAAGCTCAGCAACTTCTAAGCACACGGCAGTATTTTGTATGTATCAAATATTACATGATAAAAAACTGTTTAAAATCAACTGGCCAGATCAGATCCCATAAAAATGGGCTGTTTTGTAAATACCTGACAAGAGGTTTATTTGCCCTAGCAGAGTCCTCAAAAGAGGTTGGCTTTTGACACCTAACAAGTAAACATGGGTAGAAAATAAAGGGAAGAGGACAGACAGCTGGTTTAAAAAGCAGCAATCCCAGAAGCTACTCAAAGGGGCAGCTCCCAGGAAGAATTACTGAAGAAATATGACACTAATGAACTGTCCCCGTGACTTGCAGGGTACCTGACTGGAATGAACAGCACCAAAGTCATGCAAAATCAAGAGGCTCAAAGTTCTATTTTAACTAAGGGAAGATCTATAAAATAGCCATGTTCTTTTTTGCTTCTCATGAACATTCTGCGTCACGCCTTTACAGAATTATTTTTAGTAGCTCAATTCTTGCCTTTTTTGAGATCAAGGTGCTTTTTTTCACAGCATGCGACATCGCCTAAGGATCAAAGTGCTCAAGGTAGGGTACCTGATAGGCTTCAGCAGCTGAGGTCACCACCTGTTCCACTGCACCAACAACAAAGACTCCCTTCTTGATGTGCTCCCTTAAGTATAGTCCAGCTGATGCAGAGTCCAGTAGGTCATAGATCTGTTCATTGTAGATTTCAATAAAGGAGCACTTACAAAGGAAACTCTTTCCAGCTCCAGCCTGGAAAGAGAAGTCTCATTTAGATACATTCTTTTCATGAGTTCATCCGAACCTCTCACGTGTTTCACAAGGGGTACATTTCCTACCATGTTCTCCTTTACACAACACAAGGTACCTAAAAGCCAGTTACAAATCCAGGTGACTAGTTTTAACATACTGTTACATCTTAAGGCAGCATCAAACTGTGATCCCAGGAGGCCTAGGTCTCCAGAGGTGACTCAGAAGCAAGACAGGGAGATGGGACTGGAGCAGTCCAGATGGGCAATTCCACCTTCTTAAACTGAGGGATCACTGACATACATCATATTAGTTTCAGGTGTACAACATACTAATTCAATATTTATATATGTGGAGAAATAATCGCCACAGTGAGTCTAGTTAACATCCATCACCATACACAGTTACAAATTTTTTTCCTTGTGATGAGAAGAGCAATTCCATTTTTATCTATTATATACTGGACTTCCTCAGAAAGTTTTACTTGCAACAAGGGTTATATTCTTGAAAAGACTGAAAATAATCTCAAAAGCCTCTCTCTAGGATTTTTAACCACAGGAATACGGGGCACTAAACTTTCACTGGCACCCAAGGTGCATGTCTAACTGTAAAGGTTAGGGATTGTTTCTGCAAGAGAGCAAATGGTAAGCCAATGGTATGTATCCATTTCCTTGGTACGCATGGAATGGAACAGTAACACTAAGGGCTCCTAAACATTCACCAAGCTAAAAAAGCACAATCATGAGAAAGGCCCAACCTAAGAGCCAAAGGAGGAGGGAAGCCCACATCTCCAGGATGATGGAGTCACACCACCACGTATGAAAAAGCAAATTATGGTCAGGTGGTAGAAGGTGCTGCAAAGGAGGCAAAGATGGGCCCATCACTCCAGGGCACCCTGAGGATCTAGAGACACCTGTCAACTGTGCCTACGTGCAGGTAGGTGATGGGCCTTAACAAATCTGTTTTCCTCAGTTAAGATTTTCTTTACACTTTCTTGCAAAATCTGAGCACTAAGAAGCACTACATTCTTCTTTATTTTTTCTGAGTTCACAGAGGATGCATGGTTTAGAAACTAAAAATTTTAAGAAAATTAAATTTTAAAATGAATCTTTCATTTTTTCTTAAGAACTGAGAGGTTCTTCTATGCCACACAAGCCTATCCACATTGTAGAGTACCACCCACGACCCTCTATGTGTTATGAGCTAATTATTAGTAGCTAACTACTCGAAATTAGAATTTCATACAATGACTTTATTTTTACAAGTTTTACCTTCTCTTTTTCACGATCAATTAAGGAAAACAAATATTCAAAACTTCGTGGGATTACTCCTCTCAGGTTATGAGAAAAATGATCTGATTCAGATGGTCCTAAAGAAATGTAAAAAACATACATATGTAGCTATTCATCTTTATTCTAGAACAGTCCTTCAAAATGGCAATACTGGAAATTTATACAGAAATCAGATGACACATTGTATAATCAGTTCCTTCTTTGTGCCCCAAATAAGTTAAATTTTAGTCTGAAAGATCGAACAGAACTTGCCTAACAATAGGACTGAAGGAAGGGCCCATAATAGCCACTAATGCTGTCTTGGTGTGCTATAACCTGGAATATTTTAAACGGCCCTTGTAGGGGTGCCTGGGTGGCGCATTCGGGTGAGCATCCAACTCTTGGTTTCAGCTCAGGTCATGATCTCAGGGTCTTGAGATGGAGCCCCGCTGCTCAGTGGGGAGGCTGTTCGAGATTCTCTCCCTCTGCCCCTCCCCCCAAGCATGCTCTAAAATAAATAAATATTAAAAAAAATGGCCCTTGTAAATTGTACCTAAAAATATATATATAATGGATGTAGAAAAATACAAGTAAATTAAGAGGACAAATAAGTATGCACATAATTTTATAACATTTTCCTGTTAAATAATATATATATAGAAAGATTCAACATATTCTTTAGTTACCTTCATCATCTCCTGCCTCCTCTACGCCTTAGCTCCTCATCCTGCTTCCACTCTAGCCCCTCCCAGTCTAGTCCATTCATCTGCCTGAGTAATCCTTTTAATTATACATCAGATCATGTAGTTCTTCTTTTTAAAAAAACCTTCCAATAAAGGTTTTTTAAAAGGACCTTTTTTAAACCTTCACATCCCACACACAAAATCCCAAATCCTTGCCATGTCCTACATGACCTGGCCTCAGGATACAACTCTAATTTCCCTCACTACTAGCCCCTTATTCTGGGAAACTGCCCCCTAGGCCCATGGGTCTTCTTGCTATTCTTTGAACACTCCCAACTCAGAGCCTACTGCCTGGAAGATGCTTCTCCCAGAGAGTCTCATGGTTCCTTCTCATTTCACTCAGTAACACTCTTTCTGACTGCAACTCACGATTCAGAAGTGTTACTGGAGTGGTCGGGGGTGGGAGGGATGGGGTGACTGGGTGATAGACATTGGGGAGGGTATGTGCTACGGTGAGCACTGTGAATTGTGCAAGACTGTTGAATCACAGATCTGTACTTCTGAAACAAATAACACAACATATTTTAAGAAAAAAGAAAAAGAAGAAGATAACAGGAGAGGAAGAATGAAGGGGAGTAAGTCAGAGGGGGAGAGGAACCATGAGAGATGATGGACTCTGAAAAACAAACTGAGGGTTCTAGAGGGGAGGAGGGTGGGGGGATGGGTTAGCCTGGTGATGGGTATTAAAGAGGGCACGTTCTGCGTGGAGCACTGGGTGTTATGAACAAACAATGAATCATGGAACACTACATCAAAAACTAATAATGTAATATATGGTGATTAACATAACAATAAAAAATTAAAAAACAACAACAACAAAAAACAAAAAACCCACAACTGAAATTCAACCACAAGAAAATAAAAAACTTGAGTAAAGGGAAAAACCTTAACTGAAAAGAGAAATGAAAAACCTAGAGAAAAATCTGTTATCTATATCGTAGACAAAGGGCTAACCTCCCTATTTTACAAAATCCCCACAAATGAGTAGGAAAGACAAGCTAATTTTTTAAATGGGAAAAAAGCTTGAATGGGCATTTTACAGAGAGGTTGTTCAAATGTCCAAAAAACATATGAAAGGTGCTCAGTTGTCAACAGACATCAGGGAACTGCAAACAAAAACACAATGAGATAATACTACACATACTCCAGAATGGCTAAAATTTTAAAAACCAACAATACC